AGTTGGGTAAGGTGTCCAGGCCCAGCGAGGCCGCATGCTGCTTGGCTCTCAGCCGCAAGTTCTCAATGCTGGTGGTTTTGCTGTTAAGGTTGGGGAGGGACCCGGAGGTCTGCAGGATGGGGGAGGACCAGACCTGCTGGGCATGAGACAAGGACTGGTAGTAGGACTGGCAGTGCAGGGAGCCGAGCGGCATGCTGACGTTCATCCCCAGGTACGGCATGGCGGGGGGGCTGCCCATGTCAAAGGAGGAGTAATGGACCAAGTTATTGGTGGCGGCCATGTGCTGCCGGAACTGTTCCTGGAGGCGGAAGAGGCTGAGAGGAGACGAGGAATAGGAGTGAGTGGGGGGGAGGCAGCTGCTGGACGAGGCCGCCATGGAGGAGCTGACCGGAGACTCTGCAACACAAACAAAGCGCATTATAGACCGCGCAAATTCCAAACATTCTGTAATGGCGAAAGAGACAAAATCAACTCTGGGGACCCCGAGAATGGCCATCACCTTCATTCTTCAGCATGCATTGTTCTTGACTCTCACTCTCTGACCCCCAGGGTAAAAGTCCATCCCAATCCTACACAGTCCAGCCCTCGCTGCCTCTCACTCTCTGACCCCCAGGGTAAAAGTCCATCCCAATCCTACACAGTCCAGCCCCCGCTGCCTCTCACTCTCTGACCCCCAGTGTAAAAGTCCATCCCAATCCTACACAGTCCAGCCCCCGCTGCCTCTCACTCTCTGACCCCCAGTGTAAAAGTCCATCCCAGTCTCACACAGCCCAGCCTCCGCTGCCTCTCACTCTCTGAACCCGAGGGTAAAAGTCATCCTCCCCGCAAAGGCTCCTCCCACAAAGGCTCCTCCCACAAAGGCTCCTCCCACAAAGGCTCCTCCCACAAGGCTCCTCTCAACCTAGATACTGAACTGGAGCTCCAGGATGGGGAGGGTGGAGTTTTGCTGGGAGGACTCCTGGGAGGTCCTCTGATGTTATAGGGACACACCCACAAATGCTCCTCCCACAAGGCTCCTCTCAACCTAGATACTGAACTGGAGCTCCAGGATGGGGAGGGTGGAGTTTTGCTGGGAGGACTCCTGGGAGGTCCTCTGATGTTATAGGGACACACCTCACTTCAGCCTCCAGCCAACCCAATATGGGGCCCCCTGTGAGGATGGTCAATGAAAGCCTCCAAATGTAACTACATCATGGGCCCTGTCAGGGTTCCTCATGTACGATGAGACCCCCCCCCCAGGGTCCTTTATGTACCATGTGGCCCCATTAGGGTTCATTGTGTATCATGTGGCCCCCCCAGGGTTCCTCATGTACCATGTGGCCCCATCAGGGTTCATTGTGTATCATGTGGCCCCCCCAGGGTTCCTCATGTACCATGTGGCCCCGTCAGGGTTCATTGTGTATCACGTGGCCCCGTCAGGGTTCCTCATGTACAGCGTGGCCCCACATTCACACGACCCCCTCACCTGTTTTAGGACTGGCTCTCTTGTAGTTGGGGATGATTTTGGGGTCGGAGGTCAGAGGTTTGTCTGTCTTGGGGTCCTCCGGGGGACTTTTGGTCTCCTCCTCTTTATCGGTTTGGTCCTCGGCTGCCGATTCGCCGGCTGATTGCTCCGACAAGGTTAGGTTGAGCTCCGCGCTGGCCTCGCTCAGAGAAGTATGTGGTTTGGTGGAGTCGTGGCTGGGGGTGGCCGGCTCCGCGGGGGCGGGGTCTATCTTGCTGTCGCTGGTCTCGGAGTCTTTATGTTTTTGGAGTTGCTCCTTCTGGAGACTTCGCTGCTTCTTGCGGAATTTGGCTCTTCGGTTCTTAAACCAAACCTGGAATGTAAACCTTCGTTACCCGCTAAATCGCAGCGCCTGGAGGGAGACTTTCTTCTCTTGTGACTGAGGACTCCGCCCCTGAGGTACGTACCTGTACTCTGGCCTCGGGGAGGTTGGTGCACATGGCCAGCCGCTCTCTCATCACCACGTCCGGGTAATGCGTCTTCTGGAAGGTCTTCTCCAGGGCCTCCAGCTGCTGCGCGGTGAACGCCGTGCGACTTCGGCGCTGTTTGCGGTGCTGGGAGCCGTAGCGAGCTTCCAATATGATGTCTTGAAATGTACAGCCGTTGGAAGATAAAAAAGGGCCAATTTAATTACAGGAAGTGGGCGGAGCCACACAGTGCCGTATATTCAATCAGTCATGCTCTACTAACAGCCCCCCTCCCCCATGGGCAGATCCTATCGCTGGGACAGACCACTCCTTGGGGGCGGGGCCTACACATACATAGTGTCAGGAGGTGACAAGCTTAGGGTTAGGGTTGACCAGTCGCCTCCCCCTACATCAGAAGATGAATTAGCCACAGGAGGAAGCTTCCATCGCGGCTTTATGAATATAATACCAGCAGAGTGTCAGCCAATCACACGTCAGACCGCTGAGAGTCAAATCTGATTGGCTGTTCCACAGAAAATTGGCGGTCTCATAATTCTTACCAGCCAGTCTCTCCGCCAGGGTGAGGGCGTGCACCGAGGGCCGGTAGTCGGGGGCGTGCTGGGCGTGCTGCGCTGCTTGCTGGTGGAGGTTGTACATGGCGCTCAGCGAGTTCACCGCGTGCAGCGAATATCCGTTCACTCCGTAATGCTGCATGGTGGGCGGAGCTGCGGGGAGAGCGAGCAACCAATCAGAGCGTTCCGCAACAATGATATCATCAATGAAACTTTTCTGGATTTCTCTCCTCCCCCCTCCACTCTCTACTCCTCCCCCTCCACTCTATGCTCCTCCCCCTCCACTGTCTACTCCTCCCCCTCCACTCTAAGTTGTGTGAAAGATGGGGAAGTTGTGTGAATGATGGGGAAGTTGTATGAATGATGGGGAAGTTGCGTGAATGATGGGGAAGTTGCGTGAATGATGGGGAAGTTGTGTGAATGATGGGGAAGTTGTGTGAAAGATGGGGAAGTTGTATGAATGATGGGGAAGTTGTGTGAATGATGGGGAAGTTGTGTGAATGATGGGGAAGTTGT